TTCGCCTGCATCTGGCGTTAGTGTACAACCGCTTACTTAGCTAAGTACCTGACTACCGTCTGGTATCTGGCCGGAGTGAAACGCATAGCCTTTCTCCGATATTATCGCACAAGCACTATATTTAGGCAGCGAAGATTAGAAGGTTGAATGCCTGTGTCCTTTTTACACTTATGGTTGTAACTTTTTTTACATAGTAGAGCTACGGTGCGGCATGCGATCGCTGCAGCAAACAGTAATTTATTTGATATCTATTTATTTATTTATTATGGCAAATCTTATCAAATATAAGTTTACAAAGGGCAGACTTAATGTCTGTTGGCAATCTCTACCAGTAAACCTTGAACTGGCACGTCAGAATTTTTTTAACTTATATGGCATACTTGGCGTATCGAAAACCTACTTCAGACCAACAATAAATATAAAGAAGTGACAATATAAGTAAGTGAGCAAGTCAAGGACGCTAAACACTCACCACACAGCATGCGAGCAATCCTGACTTGATCCTCGTCAGCACTAATGAACCTCGGCGGTAAAAGTAAACATTGAAGGAACCATAACAAAAAAAAAAGCAGAGCAAAAAAAAAAACACCCCCCCACCAAATAATTTAAAATAATAAATAAAAAAAAACCCATAAAAAATAAAAAAAAAAAAAAAAAAAAAAAAAACAAAAAAAAAAAAGAAAAAAAAAAAAAAAAAAACCTCCCCAAAAGAAAAAAAAAAAAAAAAAAAAAAAAAAAAAAAAAATCTCTAAAAACCCCCTACCCCAAAAAAAAAAAAACTAATAAAAAAAAAAAAATGGAACAATTTTAAGGTGCCAATAATCACATCAGAAAAATCTAGAGACCATTTAATTTTTAACCACTTTAACAATTTAGATTTGGTTAATTTCCACTTTTGTTTCATCCCTGGAAATAAATTTAGCCCCTATTTCATAACCATTCCTTAATAACCATCAATTTTGTTGCTCAACATTTAAGTTAATGCTACAGATGAAAATACAATAGCCAAACAACTACTTCTAATGCTTACTTTTACCCTATAGATATTCACCGCGATAATAAACAGATCGACAACTCCACTTGGACAACCGATTCAAAAAAAAAAACAATAACATAATGAATTTCAAGGACCAGTGTCATATCATTAGCCTACCCTATCTGTTGAAAATTGTTAAAAGAGTGATATTGGTTAGTTAGTAAGATTGAATTCAACCTGAAGCATAATTTGAAAATAATAATAATAATCTACTAAAACTACAGTCTGATTTTAGAAAGCATCACATTACATCGACAGCACTAATAGACGTAGTTGATAACATATTGCCATCTCGGGACAAAGGTGTGACAAACTATTATGTAACTACTCGATCTCTTACAAGCATTTGATTGAATTAACATCGCGTTATTACTGATTAAGCTTTCTTATTACGTATTTGATCTAAACGCGATCATGTGATTTTCCATCTTATGATCGCAGTCACTTAGGTAAAACAATTAAAAGAGATGATAAAAATGCTATGTCAAATTTTTGTCCTGAAAGAACGGGAGTTCCCTCGTGATTCATACTGGGCCCGTTTTTATGTATATCGTAATTACAGATAGTACTTACAGCAGTTCAGAACTATAAGCATCATATGTATACAGAAGACCTACAGTTATATCTGTCCTTTATTCCAAGCCAAACTAATTGGGCAGTTAATAAATTGAATGAAGACTTACCAAAGCCTCTACTCTTGTACTTAATTTAGTAAAATTAAAATAAATTCTACTGGAATTAAAGCGTATACATACATAAATACATATAAACTGACTAGCTGTAGTATGACCTTGGGGAAAAGTAAATTGTGCGACAGTGGCCAAAAGTTTAGAGTGGTTTATGGATAATATGCTTCGCTTTATGAGACAAGTGTTCAAGATCGCACGTAACTATTTTTGAGAATAAAAGTATTATACCGAATACGTGACATTTTGACTGCGCATTATGCAGATCTCTATGTGTAACTTAGTACTCCTTTATACTCTCCTGGTAAAACTATTATCATCATCATAAAAGCATTTATGCAAGGCCGCTGCTAAATATACGGTTCTGAGCCACATGCATCCATCAACTTCCTGCATCTCTTATCAAGTCGTCACACTATCTAGTGGGTCTCCCAATTTCACTTAGCGGTACGAGACAGTCACTCGAGAACCTTTTTCCCATCAGTTCTCGATTCTATGAGTTATATGGACAGCCCATTGCCATTTCAGCTTACTTATTTCTTAGGCTAATGATCCTCATTTTAAAGTTTATCATGCAGAGAGACTCCGACCGTAGCCCTCTCCATATCTCACTGGGTGACATTGAGCTTCCGCATACAGCCAGCAATGAAGAACTACGTCCCAGATCCGGTTAAATGTACATTCTTTTTTTTTCAAGTTTTGAGGTATACATAAAAATTGAGTCGTAATATTCTGAACACTACCCAGCCGAGTTGAATTCGTCGATTGACCTCCCGGTCAAAGTCTGAATTACCCAATCGGAAAACTTGTCCTAGGTAAACATACCCGTCGACAACATCGGTGGTAGTGCTCCCAACAACTTCCAACATGGTGAGACATGGACGTTACATATGATCTTAACCGTGCACTTTTTCACACCAAGGCTACTCTCGAAAACTGACCAAACGATTCAGAGGATCCAAAATGTTTGTATATGCTATAATATGTATACTATGTCGTCACCGAAATCAGCTAATTGGAGTGCTAGGCTGTTAATCAGACGCTAGTATAAAGTTGAACGCCTAGGCCAATCGGTTTCCGAACGTTAGAAGAAATGTTCAATGAAAGAGCTAATCGTCATTCAGTCTTTTCATTGAAAGAAACTAATATGGTGACGATGCCACGCAATGTCGCTGGTCTATAACCCCGAAAACTCATTTTGTTTCGACCCGGAATTTGAATCCGAGACCTAATGATTAGATGTTTGTGTTCTCGGAATTATCATTGTTTACCTTTTTACTCACTTTTCCAAAATAAAAAATATGCATTTCCTAAATATTTATTTTATAAACTCAGTATGTAACGATTATCATTTAATTTATATAGGCGAACCATTGCTATATCTTTTTTTACGTGATAAGCTACGATAGCATGAATGGGTCGGCTCGACCAGGGCAGGTGCCTACTCACAGAATACCAGCGTAAAATAGCAGCGTAACGCTGCTGTGTTTCGTATGGTGAGTATAGACAACCGCAGACCCTTTTTATTGGTATCGAGGCATTCCATCGTAGTCCTCAGGGGTGACAACGCATTTGCATTTTGATTCTTAATTGAGAATAAGTGTTAAGGATATCTATGGGCAACAGCATCCATCAGGTGTACTTTGTGCTCGTTTGTCACCCAATGCTATAAAAAAACTTTCAACGCCATCTGTCGTCGAGTAGTATTTACATGGTTGTGATATTTCAGTAACCTATTTGAAAGTTTAAGTTGTTTTGTTGTTTTGACAATGAGCTTAAACACCAGGATGATTACAAAATTATTATTAATAAGAACAATAAATTTATTAAAGCTATTAAACTTAATTAGATTTCGGTAATGGTTATTCATTGTAACTTTGCCTGGCTTGAGTTACAATAATATATTTATGTTTAAATCATAGTAATTATAGGAGACAAACATTCACACAGAAAAGCAAATATTAGTTCTGGCAGGATGCTTGTGGCAAGCACTGTGGCGTATTTTCTATAACTTTACTCGTATATTCAGTAAGCTTAAAATATTAATTAGTGTTTTTAATATCGTCGTGCTCGTAATGTATTTCAACAATATCTTTACTATATTTTAATAATATGTAACATTGTACCATGAATGAATATAAGAGTAGGTATTTTACATGTATATAAAAATAGCTCTGAACAACACAGCTCGCGACCTAAAAAAGTTAATATAAAACGAGCCTATTCATTCTAAAGTTAAACGATTGTTACCCGTGATAAGCCACAAAGAAACCATTTTCTTTTGTGTTGCGCATAAAGGGCAATGTTCAAGGTCGCGACGCCCTTCTTTTGAAGGCTGAGTGTTTGTATAGTCTTCGATATTGCAGATTAGCCCCGCTCTACATTTCACCTGTTCACCTGTAGGGTCACTTAAAAATATACGTCACTAACATAACCTGGCGGTGAACTCTGAAACTATTTGTGTTGTCATGGGAATTGTTGACTTTGTTAATAGATGGCGTTGTTTTAAAACTGAAATTAAATGTAATAAACCTCAACATATTTTCATAACACATACGAAAAAAAATGAACTGACGGTAATAATTAATTAGGATCAATTATAAATTTACCAAACAATTCGGTTTTGATATTTTTATAAAAATTTAATTAAAAGAAAAAGGGTTGTCGCTCAACAGTGGAAGATTTGAGATTATTTTACTTTATTAATAAAAATAGTTATTTTAATTTCAAGAACTAAAAACAAAAAAACGACAAGAATTTAAGATTGCATAAACCTTAATCATACATTTTGTAATACTTATGGAGTAATACTGTTGTTACGATTTCTCATGGTATATTGCCATTTTTGAAGCGGGTTTATAGATCGGCATACCTAAAAATGTCATACGGTTGGTGGCGGGTAATAGGCGAGGCGCGGGGCGAGGCATAAGGCGCTCCGGTAGCATTCGCCACCGTTTTAGGCAGTGCTCGAACCGCTCCTTTTCCATGCGCATGTCCCTGCGCCCTTCATATCAGTTTCCACAGAATCCGTTACTCCGTTACATAATATCTAAACGGGCACATTATAGTTCTTAGTGTTAAGGCTTTTTTCTGATTGATACATTTTTGCACGTTTACAAACGTAGTTAAGTTTAGCGTTACGTAATCCGCCGTCCACAAAGCTTCGCTTGCCACCGCTTATTGTGATATTCGGTTGTGATAAATTTGTTTTAGACAGGCTTTTGCTCATAGTTTCGTAATTAAGATTAATGTTTTAGCGCCATAAGTATAATAAAGAGTCACGTAACGGAGACTGTTGACAAAAGCCGCAGGAAACTGATTCCCATTCTAACACTTGTTGAATGTTCCTTGGTTCCTTTCCTGTTTCCCGTGATCCGTATCGTATTCTTGAGGAGAGCGTGCGTTAAAGGGGCGCGCGTTTGAGGGCTGCGCGTTATACGCGGGTTACTTGTTGATCGCGAGCTGAGAATGCGCGTGTAGCGCTCCCGAGAGTGGCTCGGTACGGCTTCGCGCGGCTGGTGGCGGCCCGCCACGCAATCTGGCGGCTGCGGCGCTCCGGCTCGCAGCCGGCACAAGACAACAATGACCACGAACAAACGAACCATCTGTATGTCTCTTCTCTATCTTACCGTCTGTCTCTAAAGCTTTTATATTATTAAATTTTCTTTTTTTTTACTGTCATTTCTTTCTTTTTTCCATGGCTTGATATCATTTTTAACTGGACCTAAATTATATTCAAAATTATCTATTTTAAATAAACTGCTGTTGTTTACACATTAATGAAAAATGATTGTACAGTTAATAGCGAAGATTTATGATTAAAGTCCAGTAAATTCAATGTCTGTGCCTTATCTTAAGCAGTCAGTTTCCCAACCACTACATTGTATTTCCTCCTATTTTCACATTCCCACTTTCCTCTAACGTTGCGGATCGGCTGCTTGCGTCATCGAAAGTTTTATTGAATGCTTTACATAATAAATGTTTTCCCGCAGATGTTGTTTTATTTGCCGCTTCGATGTCAACCACCCAAAAACATTAAATGTTACAAAGCTTGATGTCGTAGTTCCATGTTTAATTATGAGCACGAATTGTTGGTGTTCACAAATTAGTCTATGTTAACTCATTACCACCCATCGTTGTTGTATAACTTCATTACGTAGAATGTACATGAAAACGTTTTCCAACGACATGTTTTGTTATTGGTATTATTTAATAAGGAATATTCGTTATATTACTCAACTTTGTGTCAGTTAGTTAGGGCTGTATATAAAACATTCATGAAGCAAAATCAATTACTCTATCTAAGTAAGAAAGAAGGTGCATATGGTAATCGAAAATGAGGAAGTTATTAAGTTTTCAAGGTGAAACAAAAATAAACGGATAAGCTAAATAGACGAATAAGCTAATGCGTTGTAATTCATAGACAAACATATTTATATTACGTAAAGAAATGTAATAATTGCATTTGAAAACTCTATTTTTTATATTTAATCTGTATTATACAAACACACAATTTACCACAAAATTAACATATTTTTAGTGTTCTACTGCAACATTTGCAAAACGGAACACTTATTAAACCTGCTTTGTCTGTCTGTTTCTCTATGTGGTAGGATATTGGTGAGTCAATGCTGCTGTTCCGTATGGTGAGATCGGACCGGAGACCCTTTTCACTGGAAACGAGGCATTCCATCTTAAACCTCGGGGTGACAACGTATCTTTATTTTGATTCTTAATCGAAGATAGACGTAAATATCTATGGGTCACAGCACCCACTTATTATCAGATGGACTGTGTGCTCTTTTCTCACCATTATTTTATAAAAAAATAATTTATTCCATTATTTATATATTTAATGACTAATATAATATAGTCAAAAATCTTCAGAGAGGATAAAAAGTATTTAAAGTACATAAATGTCTTTGTTCTCACAGCGATTTTGGACCCCAGATACTATTTAAATATTTTTAAGGTTTCTTAACTAATAATCCTTTTACTACCGTTAAAATATTCACCATATTAGTTACAACCCGATTCCTTGAAGTTGAAGAGAATCCACTGCCCATATCGTTCCGTTGGTACCGTAAGAGGAGAGAGCCAACAGACGGAAAGAGATAATGGCGTTTTTGCTGATGTGTTTCGTATGGTGAGTGTAGAGAACCGGAAACTCTTTTACTGGAAACGGGGCATTCCGTCTTGGTCCTCAGGGATTACAACGCATGTGCATTTTGATCCTTAATTTGGTTTAAATATGTATTATTTAAGTTCTTTCTTTTCCTCATAGATATCTTTGTGTGACTTAATTACGACGCTTGGTAAGCAGGATGGCGACCAGATTTTTTTATTATTTTCAAATGTTATCAGAAACATGTTGCTGCCCCATCTTCTGATTCATTTCCTTCTGTCATTTTTTACGACAGCCACGGGGTAGTATGAAGTATTGGATTTTCTTACGCCCCACTGCAAGCCGAGGACTACTAAGACTAAAGATTATTACGGACAAACAAATTGACTGGATTGACTTTGCCTATTCTATTTCTTTTCCGTTGAAATTTGACAGCTACTTTACTACTGAAATTAAAATATACTGGATGATTTTTTTACCGTCTGGAAAAAATAGGGTGTAACAGGTGAACGGAATTGAAGCCTATGGCACTAATACTTTACAGGTTTTTTCTTTTAAATTAAATATTACGAAATTGATCTATCAATAAATACTATCTAATAATTTGGTGCGTGTTATTTTAATTTCGATAGTTTTTAATTGATTAATTTATTTAGTTCAAAAGTTTTTTCGTTGTCTTTTTAGTACCGAAAGTTTGTTTCCAATTAGTAATATTTATTGATAGATCAATTTTATATGTTAATGGAAAAGAAAAATACTGTAGGCTTCTATTCCTTTCACCTGTTACACCTGTCAGGCGGTAAAAATATCACTCTGTATAATTAACGACGAGGTAAAACGTAAAATTAGTTACCTAATCATCTTACGAATGTTACATCCAGTTTCAAGAGGAGTCCACAACAATTTTATTTCATGATACATCATAGACCTATATTATTACTACCTAAAACATACATAATAGATTCTATAAAATATAATAGGAACGTTCACTACGGCAGGCAGCAATTCATGGAATGAATTTAATTTCTTCCACAAATTCATTTAAGCATACCGGACACGCCACCAAAATGATGCCAGGCATAATGAAATATTCTTTATATATTTCCACCGCAATTTTTTTTTTTTTTTTTTTTTAGAAGAGAGGGCAAACGAGCATGTAGCTCACCTGATGTTAAGTGACTACCGCCGCCCATGATCAACCGCAACACCAGGGGAATTAAGGAATTAATTTTATCGAATTTGTTACAGCTTTTCGCTTTTACTGCGATTGAAAAAATTATAGTACCTATACAAGCAACGTTTCGTTCATTACATTATTGTCATTAAAGCGCCTTAGTGTATGCAGTATACCGTTTCAGTTTTATCGAGATTATATTTCAGTTATTAAAATAAATTAACAATAAACAACAATACAAGCATAAATTGAATAAAACTTAATTTACGGATTTTATCACGTTTAACTACTTTTACTTATTTTTAATTCCCGACGTTTCGGGTGCTTTACAGCACCAATGGTCACGGGGGGACTGAGATGTTTGACGTCCCAATGTCATAGTTAGCCCGGCTACTTTCAGTTTTTTAATATTAATTTTTCGGTTAGATCTACGCAATATTTAAAAAATTAATATTTAAAAAAAATTTGACTTTGATGAAAGACGTTGTTACCAATAAATCACATCTTATTTGGGATAATTTCAAATAAAAGCAGAAGGCTTATTAACTCGTATTTTCTAAAACTGCAGTAACAGTATATCGTATATTTAAACTAAAGTTTAAAATTTAACTACTCTTTGAAAAATAACCCTGTATATCTTTATGTTCATATCAGAACGGAGATGTTTTTAAATCATATATCCGAAGTAATTTTTTTTCAGTAATTTCGTAACATAGTGCCCTCAATATAGATTTATATAATAATTCTTTCAGGTCATGCTAGAATGAGGGTGGAGGGTGAAAACAGGTTAGGAATCAACTCACGTAGCATAAGCAACCGCAGACTTTTTGCATCAATATAAATAAAATTCATTCACAACTATCCATTCGTATATATTTACACGTAGAAATCTGTTACGTACTAGGAATCCTAATGAGAAAAAGATCTATAACTGGTATAGTGGTTATTTAGGTAAGTTTTTATTATTTCTTTTTTACTTATAGAATTTTTGTCACTTGTCGAAATTAGTCACAGGTTTTAACAAGTTATTAGCGAAAATAAAAAATAATAATGACAGTGATAATGATAAAAGGAAAAACTTAAGAAAAACCAAATTATTTTAAAAAGCTTACGTCGAGAAATTTCCTTTAAAAGCTCCGTCTACTCATTTTTATTTTTATTGATTCAGAATTGTTCAAAAATTAAACATGAATATAAATTTCTTATAAAATATATTAAAAATTAGAATATAAATTTCAAATTAAAATATTTTTTAATAAATTCAATAGCCCAGTAATATTTTAAAAGCGACTCTAAAAATAACACCTAACAATTTTCACGGCTCTAAGCATTTTTAACCGTCTGGGTAGTCGCCAACTTATATGTAATAAACACCACTTCGAATTATAGAACTCACGCGAATACGTGGTACATGTCAAGGATAAGCAAACTGGGTCATTTTTTTGCGCAAATCACCGACGTATTAAACAAATTTCTGAAATAACTAAAAACGCATGAATTGATAATACATAGCGCCGATTTTAAATTAACTGTGTTTTATAATATTTTTATTTATAAAAATAATAGCTATCACAGATTTTGTTCTAACCTTTCCAGTTTTATGCGTGTTAATCCATAACATCTTCGCCCGTATATTTTATAATTCGTATTAATAACTCTGTGGTGTGGAGGAGGCTTATTAAATATTTTGTCTCGACTGTGTCGTAAGTTCTTCGTCGTGATTTCTGACACCAAGACAAAAATATGTCATGGCTCCCTATACATGACATTATCACCAACCCTTTTGCGTGACGCGTAAAATACCAATAATATCTTGGCATCAAGTTTTGCCGTAAAAATACAAATTATATTAATTATTGGACTACAGCGCCATGTCGTGTCAGATTTAGTGATTTTCTTTTTGGCACTAAACCAACATATTATATTATGAAGATGAGTCATTTTGGTCCATAAATATAGAATTTGTTTGAATTTGACTAAAGCCCACCTATCAAATCCTAGCGTATCTATGACCCATCATCTCAACAAAAAAAAAATATTGTTATTAAATATATATAAAGATATATTTAAAATTGATTTATATTTTTGTAAGCTTCAGAAATAATCGATTATACTTATACATAATAAATATTTTGAAACTGCGATTAGTGAGCACAGATCTGCTACCATCGCATTGGTAATGCTACTTCTCATTACCAGTCTTTAGGATTTGGGTTTGGATTTTTGTATGTTTTTTCTCGATGTTCTCAGCGATTAGGTGATTCAGTTAAAGTTACCATTAGGAAAAAAGGCTTATTTTATCCTCC